TTTTTTATATTTTCTCTGTGAGTAATCAAAGGGTTATTTTTCTTTCCTACTGGGAAATCTCAATATCCAAATATTATTTGAAGTTTCTTCTTTAAAATGCTATAAATCACTCCTCATTAGAAGAACAGATTCAGACCAAGTATTAATGTGTTGTTGTGATAAGTTAACAAATCAAGGCACTTCTCTCTACTCTTTGTGACATCATGATCCAGGCATCAAAACATTTCTCAAAAAACAAAACAGGAATCTGAAAATGTGCTGAGGTCATTTTTTACTAAAACTGACTTAATCTTTGGTTTGATGCGATTGGTCACATTTTACATGGACAATTTATGTCTGCATTTATAAATATGTACTTATGACTTTTCATTATATAACTTTCAAAACTGATCATGTTTCTGCAACAACAGCACATTTTTTTCTTGCAAACTGACATGCTGCCAGCTTTTTGTTCAGACATTTCCATCTACCCTACATCTCCCTCTGCTAAAAGATGAAGATTGACGAATCACATGAAACGTGGCTGACTGTTACCAAAATATCTCATGAACCACTGAACAAATTCTATGGAACTCTCAGAACGTCAACATCTGCTGAACTTTCACACAGCCAGCAGACTAGAAAAGCACAAAAAAACGGTCATAACTCAGCTGTAATTTTTAGATATGGAGGTAAAATCTGATGTGGTAGTAGCTGAGAGTCATCTGCAACACATAGTCTGAGTGAGACATCACGTCATATCCCATGAAATCCTTTAGTTAACCAATTCAAAGCTCTATTTACAYATTTTAACTGTTTTACCTTCTAAGTCTGCGGTCCTATGTCATCTCAGTTTAAATTGTTGTATTTCTTGTTCTGTCTCAAACTAATTAATAATAAATATCATGCTGGTTGGTTCTGTTCAACCAACAAAGAAAAAAAGCTAAATTTTCAATTGAAGACAGTCATTAGCTAAACTGATGAGATTATGTACACATCTCTGGTGAGTAGTTTATTCTGCCACTACACCAACTGAGCAGTGTTTATTATCACTCCCTATGGAGCTATTAGGAACAAAGGATTACTGCATCAATGAGTTTTATTTGTTTYATATACTGAATATAAAACAAGCCAATACTACTGCAATACAGATTTAATATGACTAATTAACATCCTGTTTAAGGATAATGATGAAACATCAACCAATAAAAACACGCTACTGTTTTTGCTCCAAACACGGCTCATTCAGTCGTTCRCTCTTTAAAATTCTTTATTAAATCAATGTTAACAATAAACTAACATAAATAAACATTTTTATGAACAAAAGGCACACAGTTCAAAATATAAACAAAGAAAATGCCTGTACAGGTTGTTTAAAAAAAATTCTACTGTCTCAGAGACGAGCTTCAGTTGATTCGTTGTCAAAAAAAAAAAAAAACTTTAAACCTTGCAGCACTGAGATTCGGGCCGCAAACGCTTCAGACTCCCCGAGAGGGACAATAGCAGTGGGATGCAAACAAACAAACAAAACAAAACAAAACAAAACAAAAAAACAACGGCAAATAGGAGCAGCTTCATGTGAATCCTCTGCCAGGAGGTTTACAGTAAGTCTGAGAATCATGTCTGATTTCTGGTTGAACAGGCCACAAAATGCATGTCCACTAAATTCAAAACTTCACACACACACACACACACACACACACACACACACACAC